ACATTATTTAACATCTATTTTGACCATGTAGTTCGTGAAGTCTTCAATAGCTGTACTGGGGGAATTTCCATTTGGTACAGATATAATGGGAGGCTGATCGATGCCTGGTGCGATCAAGGGATGGCTCCCTATTGGTCAACCACTTTATGTATGACGATGATTTGGTAATAGCTGCTCATTCAGAGGAGGAGTTGGAGACACTGCTGCTGAGCGTGCCACTAAGAGGTGGGGCCTTACCATAAGCCCCACCAAAACTAAGCACCTGCCTGGGTATTTTGTACCATCGGACACTCCACCGCCACAACTCCCAATCGGTGATGGGGCAGTTGTGGAGAGAGTGGAGAGTTTCCCATACCTGGGCAGTGTGCTTATGACCGGCTCCAATTTAACAGCAGAGGTCTCACTCCGAATCAGAAGAGCGGCAATATCTTTTCATCGGTGGCATAACGCGGTGTGGAAGCTACCTGATCTGTCGCTCCGCACGAAGCTTCAGGTCTTCTCGGCCACAGTGATTCCCTCCCTTCTCTATGCTTGCGAAACGTGGACCCCCCTAATGGACCATCTTCACTGGTTAGAAACATTTAGACTGGCCTGCCTACGATCCATCCTGGGTTTAACCAGGCTGGATTGTGTGAGTAGCTCACAAATCCTTGAAAGATCTGGGCAAAGTCCCATCGGTGAGCTCCACCGGCAGGCAAGGCTGCGTTGGCTGGGTTATGTAGCCCGCATGCCCAGCCACCGCATACCTAAACAGCTTTTGTTCAGCTGGATCGAGGGGGCTAAACGGGCGCAGCACGGGCTAGAAAAGAGATGGAGTGATGTGGTACAGGAGGACGTGGAGCTGAGTGGACTTGCCTCTGTGGAGGAGGCTCGTGAAGGACGCTGCTACTGGGCAGTTGGAGGCAGTCGCCCTCCAGCAACAATGGAGGGCGGACGAGCGATGCTCACAACAACGAGCGGAGCGCCACGTGGCTAAAGCACAGCAAGTTGGCACAGTAGGGGGCACAGGTGGTGCATCAGCCAGTCATCTCGGTCATCTCAGTCAGTCGACCCGTGGCACCTGGGTCTGCCCTGTGACCACCTGCCAGTGAGCGTTCGACACTTCACGTGGCCTAGAGGTGCACATGGCCTGGCAAAAACGTCGCGGTGACGTCACTGCCACTTAGTGGCGAATGGCGGTTGTTGTTGATGTTGTTGTAAGTCCATATGTGTGTGCGTGTAGGTCGATGTGTTTGTGTGTGTGGGTCGATGTCTGTGTGTAAGTCGATATGTGTGTATCTTTTTCGCCCGGTGCAATGCCAGGTCCTTCCCACTAGTAGTGTATATAGTCTAACCAGACACACAGACACATACAGACAACTGCCTTTTTTTACAGACAACTGCCGTCTTTTACGAGCCTCCTCCACATAGGCTGATCTTGACACTGCTGGTACCAGTCATCGGCAAGTCCACTCAGCTCCACGTCCTCCTGCACCACATCACTCCATCTCTTCTCTAGCCCGTGCCGCGCCCGTTTAGTCCCCTCGATCCGGCCGACCAAAAGCTGTTTAGGCATGTGGTGGCTGGGCATGCGGGCTACATGACCCAGCCGACGCAGCCTTGCCTGCCGGAGGAGCTCACTGATGGGACTTTGCTCAGATCTTTCAAGGATTTGTGAGCTCCTCACACAATCCAGCCAGACACACAGACAGACACACACGGACACACACACAGACACACACAGACACACTCCCTGTTGGCACAACCCCCCTCCCTCTCACCCTCTCAGCCACTCACAGGGGGTGACTACTTCTTCCAGACACACGCACACACACACAGACACACACACCCTGGAGTCACAACCCCCCTCCCCTCCCACAACCCGCCTCTGCTGGAGCAGCACACACACTCACACAGACAGCCACACAGACAGACAGACACAGACAACAACAACCGCCATTCGCCACTAAGTGGCGGTGACGTCACCACGACGCTTGTGCCAGGCCAAGTGCACCTTGAGGCCACGTGAAGTGTCGAACGCCCGCTGGCAGGAGGTCACGGGGCAGACCCAGCAGGTGCCACGGGTCGACTGATCGAGATGACCGAGATGACTGGCTGATGCACCACCTGTGCCCCCTACTGTACCAACTTGCTGTGCTTTAGCCACCTGGCGCTCCGCTCGTTGTTGTGAGCGTCGCTCCTCCGCCCTCCGTTGTTGTTGGAGGGCGACTGCCTCCAACTGCCCAGTAGCGTCCTTCACGAGCCTCCTCCACTGAAGCCGATCTTGACACCGCTGGTACCAGTCATCGGCAAGTCCACTCAGCTCCACGTCCTCCTGTACCACATCACTCCATCTCTTCTCTAGCCCGTGCCGCGCCCGTTTAGCCCCCTCGATCCGGCCGAACAAAAGCTGTTTAGGCATACGGTGGCTGGGCATGCGGGCTACATGACCCAGCCAACGCAGCCTTGCCTGCCGGAGGAGCTCACCGATGGGACTTTGACCAGATCTTTCAAGGATTTGTAAGCTCCTCACACAATCCAGCCTGGTTAAACCCAGGATGGATCGTAGGCAGGCCAGCCTAAATGTTTCCAACCGGCGAAAATGCTCCACCAGGGGGGTCCACGTTTCGCAAGCGTAGAGAAGGGAGGGAATGACTGTGGCTGAGAAGACCTAAAGCTTCGTGCGGAGCGACAGACCAGGTAGCTTCCACACAGCGTTACGCAACCGATGAAAAGATATTGCCGCTCGACTGATTCGTAGTGAGACCTCTGCTGTTAAACTGGAGCCGGTCTTAAGCACACTGCCCAGGTATGGGAAACTCTCCACTCTCTCCACTACTGCCCCATCACCGATTGGGAGTTGTGGGGGTGAGTATCCGATGGTACAAAATACCCAGGCAGGTGCTTAGTTTTGGTGGGGCTGATGGTAAGGCCCCACCTCTTAGTGGCACGCTCAGCAGCAGTGTCTCCAACTCCTCTTCTGAATGAGCAGCTATTACCAAATCATCGGCATACATAACGTGGTTGACCAATAGGGAGCCATCCCTTGATCTCACCGGGGCGTCGATCAGCCTCCTATTATATCTGTACCAAATGGAAATTCCCCCGGTACAGCTATTGAAGGCTTCATGAACTACGTGGTCAAAATAGATGTTAAATAATGTGGGAGCCAGAGGACATCCCTGTCACACCCCAAGGTGTAGAGCGAATGGCTCCGACTCCCGGCCACGTAGTTTTACCCGGGCCCGCTCACCATCATGAAGGTCCTTAATGATCGTGAGCAGAGGGTCAGGGACTCCTAAAGCACGAAGAACAGCCCAGAGCCCAGGCCTACTGATGGTATCATAGGCCTTGACCAGGTCAATAAATCAGAGATGTAGGTCTTGTTGGAATTCCATACACCTCTGCTGTAGCAGACGGACAAAAAATATGGCATCTGTGCAGGACCGCCCTTTCCTGAAACCGCATTGGGGCTCCGCAAGCCTCTCCTCAGCGTGCCTAGCAAGGCGATGTTGAATAATCCTTGCCAGGACCTTTCCCGGCATACTGAGGAGTGAGATGCCCCTGTAGTTGTTACAGTCTGTGCGGTCCCCCTTCTTAAAGAGGGGGACCACTAGGGCATCCTTCCAATCCTGCGGAACCCGTCCAGTGGTCCAGACTGTTGTTATGTCATATAGGGCAGTCTGTGCACAAACGCCACCCTCCCTCAGCATTTCTCTTGGGAGATCATCTCTGCCCGGTGCCTTTTCTAGTCTCAGACTCCGGATCGCCTTCAGTACTTCCTCAACAGATGGCACCTCAGCCAGCCACTCACAGGGGGTGACCTCTTCCAATATTTGAGGCACCGCAGCTTCAGCAGGGTTACAGACAGACACTCACACAGACACATACAGACACACACACAGACAGACACATACACAGACAGACACAGACAGACACAGACAGACACACACATAGACACACACACAGTCACACACAAGACAGACACACAGACACACACACAGAGACACACACAGACAGTCACACACACAGACAGACACAGACAGACACACACACACGCAGAGAGTCACACACAGTCACACACACACACAGACAGTCACACACAGACACACACACAGACAGACACACACACAGACAGTCACACACAGACACACACACACAGACACACACACATACACAGACACACACACACAGACAGTCACACACAGACACACACACACAGACACACACACAGACACACACACACGCAGAGAGTCACACACAGACAGTCACACACAGACACACACAGACACACACACAGACAGACACAGACAGACACACACACACACAGACACACACACACACAGTCACACAGACAGTCACACACAGACAGACACACACAGACTCACACACACAGACACACACAGACACACACACACAGACACACACAGACACACACACGGGCACACACACAGACACAGACAGACACACACACACAGACAGACACACAGACACACACAGACAGACACACAGACACACACACACAGACACACACACACACAGACACACAGACACACACACACAGACACACACACGGGCACGCAGTGGAGGCACGGGGACTCGCTATCTCTCATCTCTCTCTCCTATTTATTCAGCGTTGCGTAATGCGTCCCTCTTTTTTAGATTACTGTACTCTCTAGCACACAATCAGCAGGCGTAGAAGGAAGCCTGTGTACGTGTGTGTGTGTCTGTGTGTGCCCATGTGCGCCCGTGTGTGTGTTCGTGTGTGTGTGTCCGTGTGTCTGAGTGTGTGTCTGTGTGTGCCCGTGTGTGTGTGCCCGTGTGTGTGTTCGTGTGTGTGTGTCCGTGTGTCTGAGTGTGTGTCTGTGTGTGCCCGTGTGTGTGTGCCCGTGTGTGTGTTCGTGTGTGTGTGTCCGTGTGTCTGAGTGTGTGTCTGTGTGTGCCCGTGTGTGTGTGCCCGTGTGTGTGTTCGTGTGTGTGTGTCCGTGTGTCTGAGTGTGTGTCTGTGTGTGCCCGTGTGTGTGTGCCCGTGTGTGTGTTCGTGTGTGTGTGTCCGTGTGTCTGAGTGTGTGTCTGTGTGTGTGTGCCCGTGTGTGTGTCGTGTGTGTGTCCGACGCGCTTCTTATAGTGAAAGGCAGCGAGGTGGGTGCAGTTTAAGCAGCGCTTAGCAAGGCGTTAATGTATAACAATATAATAACAATATAATAACATATAATAATGTAATGATGAAGATAATAAACGCCGCGGTTGTCGTCGTAGGCTGTGAAAAGGGTGGCAAGCAGTGACATAACAGGAATTCGGGAGTAGCAGCAGAAGCAGTAACATCATCATCATCACAGCAGCAGTAGCATCATCATCACAGCAGCAGTAACATCATCATCATCACAGCAGCAGTAACATCATCATCATCACAGCAGCAGTAACATCATCATCATCACAGCAGCAGTAACATCATCATCATCACAGCAGCAGTAACATCATCATCATCACAGCAGCAGTAACATCATCATCACAGCAGCAGTAACAACATCATCATCACAGCAGCAGTAACATCATCATCATCACAGCAGCAGTAACATCATCATCACAGCAGCAGTAACATCATCACAGCAGCAGTAACATCATCATCACAGCAGCAGTAACATCATCATCACAGCAGCAGTAACATCATCATCACAGCAGCAGTAACATCATCATCACAGCAGCAGTGACATCATCATCACAGCAGCAGTAACATCATCATCATCATCACAGCAGCAGTAACATCATCATCATCACAGCAGCAGTAACATCATCATCATCATCACAGCAGCAGTAACATCATCATCACAGCAGCAGTAACATCATCATCATCACAGCAGCAGTGACATCATCATCACAGCAGCAGTAACATCATCATCATCACAGCAGCAGTAACATCATCATCATCACAGCAGCAGTGACATCATCATCATAGCAGCAGTAACATCATCATCATCATCACAGCAGCAGTGACATCATCATCACAGCAGCAGTAACATCATCATCACAGCAGCAGTAACATCATCATCACAGCAGCAGTAACATCATCATCACAGCAGCAGTAACATCATCATCATCACAGCAGCAGTAACATCATCATCATCACAGCAGCAGTCACATCATCATCACAACAGCAGTGACATCATCATCACAGCAGCAGTAACATCATCATCACAGCAGCAGTCACATCATCATCATCACAGCAGCAGTAACATCATCATCATCACAGCAGCAGTAACATCATCATCATCACAGCAGCAGTGACATCATCATCATCACAGCAGCAGTAACATCATCATCATCATAGCAGCAGTAACATCATCATCACAGCAGCAGTAACATCATCATCACAGCAGCAGTAACATCATCATCATCATAGCAGCAGTAACATCTTCATCATCACAGCAGCAGTAACATCATCATCACAGCAGCAGTGACATCATCATCATCACAGCAGCAGTAACATCATCATCACAGCAGCAGTAACATCATCATCATCACAGCAGCAGTAACATCATCATCATCATCATCACAGCAGCAGTAACATCATCATCATCACATACACACCATCACCATCACCCACACACCATCACCATCACCCACACACCATCACACACCATCACCATCACACACCATCACACACACACCATCACACACCATCACACAATCACACACCATCACACACACCATCACCACCACACACCATCACCATCACACACCATCACCCACACACACACACCATCACCATCACACGCATACCATCACACACCATCACACACCATCACCATCACACACACACCATCACCATCACACGCATACCATCACACACCATCACCCACACACCATCACACACCATCACCATCACACACACACCATCACCATCACAAACACACCATCACACACACACCATCACCATCACACACCATCACACCATCACCATCCCTCATACACCATCATCATCATCGTCATCATCACACAGCCAGCATAAAGTTATTGTGCAAACACCATCACCGACATCACCGTTATCATAATTAAAGTTCGTTCATAATCGACATCATAAGCCAAAGCACCTTCGTAAAAATGCGGGCCATGCATCGTTATTATACAACACTGATAATGTTCAAACAGCACCAGGGACACCAACATAAACTACTGTCACTTTCACCACTATCATCCATCATCACCACCATCAACACTATCAACCATCACTATCACCACCACTATCATCACCATCACTATGATCACTACCATCACTATCATCACCACCACCACCATCATCACTACCATCACCACCATCACTATCATCACCACTATCACTTTCATCACCACCACCATCATCACCACTACCATCAATATCATCACCACCACCATCACTATCATCATCACCACTATCATCAAAACTATCACCACTATCAACCATCACTATCATCACCACCACCATTCCTACCATCACTATCATCACCATCACTATCATCACCACCCCCATCACCACCATCACCAGCACCCCCATCACCACCACCACTCACCACCACCCCCATCACCATCACCACCACCCCCATCACCACCATCACCACCACCCCCATCACCACCATCACCACCACCCCCATCACCCCCACCACCACCACCCCCATCACCACCACCATCATCACCATCACCACCACCCCCATCACCATCACCACCACCCCCATTACCACCATCCCCATTACCACCACCATCATCACCATCACCACCACCACCATCACCACCACCCCCATCACCACCACCACCATCATCACCATCACCACCATCACCACCACCCCCATCACCACCACCACCCCCATCACCATCACCACCACCCCCATCACCACCACCATCACCATCACCACCACCACCACCCCCATCACCACCACCACCACCCCCATCACCATCACCACCACCACCACCCCCATCACCACCACCACCATCATCACCATCACCACCACCCCCATCACCATCACCACCACCACCACCACCCCATCACCATCACCACCACCCCCATCACCACCACCATCACCACCACCACCATCACCACCACCCCCATCACCATCACCACCACCACCACCACCACCACCCCCATCACCATCACCACCATCCCCATCACCGCCATCATCACCATCACCACCACCACCACCAACCCCATCACCACCACCATCACCACCACCCCCATCACCACCACCACCTCCCCCATCACCACCACCACCCCCATCACCATCACCACCACCCCCATTACCATCACCACCACCCCCATCACCACCACCACCATCATCACCATCACCACCACTACCACCCCCATCACCATCACCACCACCCCCATCACCACCACCACCACCATCATCACCATCACCACCATCACCACCACCCCCATCACCCCCACCACCACCACCACCCCCATCACCACCACCACCCCCATCACCACCACCCCCATCACCACCACCATCCCCATCACCACCACCACCACACCCATCACCATCACAACCACCACCACACCCATCACCACCACCACCATCATCACCATCACCACCACCACCATCACCACCACACCCATCACCACCACACCCATCACCACCACCCCCATCACCACCCCCATCACCATCACCACCACCCCCATCACCACCACCACCATCATTACCATCACCACCACCACCACCACCAACCCCATCACCACCACCACCCCCATCACCATCACCACTACCATCATCACCATCACCACCACCACCACCAACCCCATCACCACCACCATCATCACCATCACCACCACCCCCATCACCACCACCACCCCCATCACCATCACCACCACCCCCATCACCATCACCACCACCCCCATCACCACCACCACCCCCATCACCACCACCACCAACTCCATCACCACCACCATCATCACCATCACCACCACCCCCATCACCACCACCACCAACTCCATCACCACCACCATCACCATCACCACCACCCCCATCACCACCACCACCACCACCCCCATCACCACCACCATCACCATCACCACCACCCCCATCACCATCACCACCACCATCATCACCACCACCATCACCATCACCACCACCACCCCCATCACCATCAACAGGCTGGGTGGGAGTTGCACATCGACAGCGGCCGCTGACATCGCGGCAGCCACAGGGGGGAGTCGTGGTGGTGGTGGAGGTGGTGGTAGTGGAGTTGGTGGTGCTGGTAGTAGTGGAGGTAGTGGACGTGGTGGTGGAGGTGGTTGTGGTAGTAGTGGTGCTGCTGCTGGTGGTTGTGGTGGTGGTGGTTGTTGCGGGTGTTGAGGCCCCCACCCCCCGTCTGTGTGTGTGTGTGTGCCATGGCGCGGCATTGGCCGCGTCTGGCTTCACCACTCGCGCCTCTCCTCTGACTCTCGCAGTCGGCGGGGTGGCGCAGTCACGACAACAACAACAACAACATCGACAACATCAGCAACAACATCAACATCGACAACAACAACAACATCGACAACATCAACAACGTCTACAACAACAAGTTGCTCGGCTTTGGGTACGTACACACACAAAGACAAAGATCCCCCGTATAGCCTGAACAGACTGTAGGGGCAAGTGCTGTTAGCGAGCACCTATGAAGGCCAGAACGGTACACAAGGGGGTGGGTGGCCAGCACCACTGACACACACACACAGTACACATAGTACACACACACAGTACACACAGACACACACAGTACACACACACAGTACACACTACACACACAGTACACACACACCCAGACACACACACAGTACACACAGACACACTACACACACAGAACACACACACTGACAGCACACACACAGTACACACACACACACAGTACACATAGTACACACACACAGTACACACAGACACACACAGTACACACTACACACACAGTACACACACACCCAGACACACACACAGTACACACAGACACACTACACACACAGAACACACACACTGACAGCACACACACAGTACACACACACACACAGTACACATAGTACACACACACAGTACACACAGTACACACAGACACACACAGTACACACACAGTACACACTACACACACAGTACACACACACCCAGACACACACACAGTACACACAGACACACTACACACACAGAACACACACACTGACAACACACACACAGTACACACACACACACAGTACACATAGTACACACACACAGTACACACAGTACACACAGACACACACAGTACACACACAGTACACACTACACACACAGTACACACACACCCAGACACACACACAGTACACACAGACACGCTACACACACAGAACACACACACTGACAGCACACACACACACACAGCACACACACACAGTACACATACACAGACACACACACACACAGTACACACATACACACTACACACACAGCACACACACAGCACACACACACAGTACACATACACAGACACACACACACACAGTACACACAGACACACTACACACACAGAACACACACACTGACAGCACACACACACAGTACACATACACAGACACACACACACAGTACACACAGACACGCTACACACACAGAACACACACACTGACAGCACACACACACAGTACACATACACAGACACACACACACAGTACACACAGACACACTACACACACAGCACACACACAGCACACACACACAGTACACATACACAGACACACACACACACAGTACACACAGACACACTACACACACAGAACACACACACTGACAGCACACACACACAGTACACATACACACACACAGTACACACAGACACGCTACACACACAGAACACACACACTGACAGCACACACACACAGTACACACAGCACCGTGTGTTCAATGTGTAGTGTACACACGGCTAGTAAACTATACGCACTCTGTACTGTCTCGCCCACACACAACATGCATGTTGTACACAACATGCATGTTGTATGATCTACACACGTAGTAGTGCAATGATAGTAGATTTCTCCGTGTTTTAAATTCTTATTTGTTTACACACAGGCAGGTCACAGGCACTGTATGTCCCGTGTACAGTGTTCATATGTGGCCAGTGCACACGTACACGTCTTGTGTGTGTGTCTCTTACACGTAGCAAGTGAACATAGAACTCGTACTTTGTGTATCGTTATATGTTGTATATGTATATACAGCTAGCCACATATTCACACTTTGTTAAAATATGTGTAACTTACTTACATAGGTAGTAAACATTATCCACAACTTTCACATAGTACACACATTACACACACACACAGACACATTACACACACATGACACACAGTACACACATTACACACACACAGACACACATTACACACACACAGTACACACACACAGACACACACAGTACACACATTACACACACAGACACATTACATACACATTACACACACACAGACACACACACAGTACACACATTACACACACACAGTACACACACACAGTACACACATTACACACACACAGTACACACACACAGACACACACACAGACACACACAGTACACACATTACACACACAGACACATTACACACACACAGTACACATTACACACAGACACACACAGTACACACAGTACACACACATCCTGTACTACAGTACACGTATATAGTGCGCCGTACAAAAACAACTGCGGTCCTGTGTACACACATCCTGTACTTGGTGTAAACTCACGATTATGAAACATCCAGTACACACTCATAACATTGGTGCTCTATCTACACATTATGCAGTCGACACATGCAGTACACAAACACTGTAATACTAACATTGGTGTACAAGGTACATCCCCACGCTACACACACACACCACGCTACACACACCACGCTACACACACACACCATCACACACACCACACACCACGCTACACACACACCACTACACACACACCACTACACACACACCACACCACACACACCATTACACACACACCACTACACACACACCACAACACACACACCACCACACACCCACTACACCACACCACTACACACACACTGACACACACACACACTGACACACACACACACTGACACACACACACTGACACACACACTGACACACACACTGACACACACACACTGACACACACACACACTGACACACACACACTGACACACACACACTGACACACACACTGACACACACACACACTGACACACACACACACTGACACACACACACTAACACACTGACACACACACACTGACACACACACACTGACACACATACTGACACACACACACTGACACACACACACTGACACACGCACACTGACACACACACACACACTGACACACACACACACACTGACACACACACACACACTGACACACACATACTGACACACACACTGACACACACACACTGACACACACACACTGACACACACACACACTGACACACACACACACTGACACACACACACACTGACACACACACACTGACACACACACACTGACACACACACTGACACACACTGACACACACACACTGACACACACACACACACTGACACACTGACACACACACACTGACACACACATACTGACACACACACACTGACACACGCACACTGACACACGCACACTGACACACACACATACTGACACACACTGACACACACTGACACACACACACTGACACACTGACACACACACTGACACACACCACTCTGTATCAGCACTGTACTGACGTGCACATGGCGGCACTGTGCCCATTGGGGGTTTGCGTTCTCAGACTTTTCTGTTCATCGTTAAGCCGCAAACCGTAAACTCACAACACTCACCACTACTCACCACTAGTACACTCACCACTACTCACCACTACTCACCACTACACTCACCACTACTCACCACTAGTACACTCACCACCACTCACCACTACTCACCACTACACTCACCACTACTCACCACTAGTACACTCACCACTACTCACCACTACACTCACCACTACTCACCACTAGTACACTCACCACCACTCACCACTACTCACCACTACACTCACCACTACTCACCACTAGTACACTCACCACCACTCACCACTACTCACCACTACACTCACCACTACTCACCACTAGTACACTCACCACGAGTACACTCACCACTACACTCACCACTACACTCACCACTACACTCACCACTACACTCACCACTACTCACCACTACTCACCACTAGTACACTCACCACTACACTCACCACGAGTACACTCACCACTACTACACTCACCACTACTACACTCACCACTAGTACACTCACTACTACCCTCACCACTACACTCACCACTACACTCACCACTACTACACTCACCACCAGTACACTCACCACTAGTACACTCACCACTACACTCACCACTAGTACACTCACCATTACACTCACCACTACTCACCACTAGTACACTCACCACTAGTACACTCACCACTACACTCACCACTAGTACACTCACCACTAGTACACTCACCACTACACTCACCACTAGTACACTCACCACTAGTACACTCACCACTAGTACACTCACCACTACACTCACCACTACACTCACCACTACTCACCACTACTACACTCACCACTACTCACCACTAGTACACTCACCACTACTACACTCACCACTACTCACCACTAGTACACTCACCACTAGTACACTCACCACTACACTCACCACTACTCACCACTACTCACCACCAGTACACTCACCACTAGTACACTCACCACTAGTACACTCACCACTACACTCACCACTACTCACCACTACTACACTCACCACTACTCACCACTAGTACACTCACCACTACACTCACCACTAGTACACTCACCACTACTCACCACTACACTCACCACTACTCACCACTAGTACACTAACCAGTACACTCACCACTAGTACAATCACCACCACTCACCACTACTCGCCACTACTCACCACTACTCGCCACTACTCACCACTAGTACACTCACCACTAGTACACTCACCACTACTCACCACTACTCGCCACTACTCACCACTAGTACACTCACCACTACACTCACCACTAGTACACTCACCACTAGTACACTCACCACTACACTCACCACTAGTACACTCACCACTTCACTCACCACTAGTACACTCACCACTAGTACACTCACCACTACACTCACCACTAGTACACTCACCACTAGTACACTCACCACTACACTCACCACTAGTACACTCACCACTTCACTCACCACTAGTACACTCACCACTAGTACACTCACCACTACACTCACCACTAGTACACTCATCACTACACTCACCACTAGTACACTCACCACTAGTACACTCACCACTAGTACACTCACCACTACACTCACCACTACACTCACCACTAGTATACTCACCACTACACTCACCACTAGTACACTCACCACTACACTCACCACTACACTCACCACTAGTACACTCACCACTACTACACTCATCACTACACTCACCACTAGTACACTCACCACTAGTACACTCACCACTACACTCACCACTACTACACTCACCAC